ATAATCCTAATGCACAATTTTTTTCTAGAACTACTCTTAGGAAAGATGCATTAAAATTATATAAACAAGAAAAAGAAGCATTAATCAACCTTCTACATTCTACTAGTGGTTGCGTTGCGTTAACGGCGTATATTTGGTCCGCCGTTGCCAACAAGGATTATTTAGCTGTAACCGAACATTATTATAAAGGTTTTGATTTGGATAAGAGAATCTTAGGTTTCAAATGTGTTATAGGATCACATACTGCCAATTTAATATATAACACAATTTTATCTGTTATTGATGAATATAGTTTAAGAGATAGAATAATGGCCATAAAATTAGATAATGCAACTGCGAATACTAAAGCAATAAAACTTTTTTAAAATGATTTAAGTTTATTTAGTAATAATGATATTTTCCACCAACGTTGTGCATGTCATATAATTAATTTAATAGTAAAGTCCGGTTTAAAATCAATGTCAGGTCATATTAAAAGAATTAGAGATAACATTGCTTGGATTCAAGGTAGTAATCAAAGAATACAAGATTGGTTTAGATTTCTACAAGCATGTAATCAAAATCCTAGAGCATTAGCCTTAGATATGCCCATAAGATGGAACTCCACTTACATAATGCTTGAACAATGCATCCCCTATAAAGATGCTATAATAAATTATGTTAGTGCAAAATTAGGAACAGGATTTATAGATGAAACTGATTGGCAAATTGCCGAACTTTTGTATAACTTTTAGGTAGATTTCATAAAGTTACCTTAAAGCTTAGTGGAACTTATTACCCAACTTCACCATTAGCATTAGGAGAACTTTTAAGAATGTCTATTTTATTTAGTGAATTTTGGACACATGAGGTTTTAGGAGTTCCTATCGCCCACGGATTATTTTGGTTTTGTAAACATATATATTTTGGAGTTAAACTCATATACCTTGGATGATTGTATAATTTTAATTGTGGCTAGGAAACTTGATGGGAATGGTGTATTAACGAAATTTTGTTTAAGCAAAAAAAAAAAAATGAAACACCATAGTTTTCACATAAGTGACAGGTGAAGATTAGTGATTGTGGCACGTACTTAGGATTGTTGGCAAGGAACTAAAACGTTTGAAGGAGATGGTATATAAGGGGTGTCACAGGTTGTCTAAGAAGAAGAAGAAGAAGACGACGATGACGAGTCAAGGTCAAGAAGAATCTGGGAGTGGAAGTGGATCTTCATCAAGAGGTGGCGGCGGATTCAACGAGTTAATGGCGTACCTGAGTGAGGGCTTAGTTGTAGACAGTAGTGAGGTGTTTGATTTGGTTGAGTGGTGGAGGGCACGAGCATTAACTTGGCCGATCCTAACACGACTGGCAATGGATATTTTTTCAATCCCGGTCTCCACCGTTGCAGCCGAACAAGCATTCAGTACAACCGGCCGAATACTTGAAGAACGGAGAAACGCATTGCAGCAGGATATTGTTGAAGCTTTGGTGTGCATCAAGGATTGGGACCGTTCCGACCAACGCTTACACGATACAATCTCACCGGCAAACCAAGAATGGATCGACGAATTTAATAGATTAACTTTTAATTTTCAAGATGATCCTTCTGCTTCATCTTGATAATTTCTTTGTAAATATTTATTTACTTTGTAATTCCTAATTTGTATAGTGTTTATTGTAATTTGTAATCTTGTATAGACTTTGTAAGTTCATCAAATTTGTAATTCGTCCCACAATGATTGCACTCCTTTTTCCTTACCAAGTTTTTATCCCAATTGGGTTTTTCTTGGTAAGGTTTTTAATGAGGCAATCATAAATTACAAATTTAAAAATCAATGAAGAAGTAATTTTTTTTATATAGTTCGTTCGTGTCGTGTGTTCATTTCATATTTCAAATTATAATATACACAATTACACATTGTAATTATACAAATACTTATTTCAACAACATAAAAATATAATATAAAAAAAAAGAAAAAAAAATTTCGGGCAGCCGGTCGGGCATCGGGCAGCCCGACCGGGCACGGGCAGGCTTCCTCTGCCCGAAGCCCGTCTATGGGAATTTTCAGGTCGGGTCAGGCAGGCCAAATTTTCGGGCAGATCGGGTTCGGTCATCGGGCAAAAATTCAGACTTTTCGGTGGTCACGGGCGGCCCGTCCAAAGTTTCAGCACTGATCAGGGCTGAATGAAAAATGAGCGTGGCGTTTAAGGAAATTACGGATTTCTTCTATGGGCTTTGGGGGATCATGACCGTTTATATCAGCGAAGTGGTCTTAAGATGGGATGGACGGTAGGGATGAATGTGGTGATTGGGATCAAGGGTGTGAGGGTATTTTCGTCTTTCGGGTATGTGTTGCTTGCGACGCAATCTTTTTTCTGAGAGTGAGAGGGTTAAAAAAAAAAAGTTATCTTCTCATGTTTTAGAAGATTTGAATAATGTTTTTCAGGACAGAGAAGTTACAATTAAAACACAAGTTTTTTTCTTCTTTTATTTTCTTTTCTGGACCAGTAGACCGACATATTAGGTGCGTTTAAAATTCATTTCAAAATGTTTTTGTTTTTTGTATGAAAATGAAAACGAAAACGTGTCACGCCCCCCAAACGGGGTGGGTGACGTGGAGCTCGATTAGTGGTTAATAAAGCAGATTCCCAGACGAGCCCCACTCAACTGCATTAAAATATAAATAAATTACAGAATTCCGGAGCCTCTGACACACAGGGCTCCACCCCACAGGACATACGGTATCGTACATACATGCTCATGTAAATAATCATTACAACAGACATCAACCACAGTCTAGTTAATCCAAATATTACATAAGTTTACAGAATTTCTCAAATTCCTTACATTTATTCAAGAAGATGAACTCAATCCTCACTTGATCCAACAGTAGCCATCTTCCGCTACCCCGCGCCGCTCCTAGAGTCTCCTGGGAGCGGTTTAATACATTTGAAACATAAAACGTGAGCGAAAGGTCCAGTAGGATGTTAATTACAAAGACGTAAAGTAAATAAATAGATAAGGTGCAAGTAAATAAATAAATGGGTACGTAAATAAATAGACATTCAATCCCAACAGACAGCCGGAACCTCACATCCTTTTTCTCAAAGGAAATAAATGTAAAATCTCCATATTACAGGCTTCAACAAGTAATTAGTACAAATTACTTACCTAACCAAGTGCCTCGCCTACCCGAACCGAGTTTCGGGTTCTGCCCCCAAGGATGCACTCTCCGCATCCTATCTAGGCTTACAGCAATAGACTCTAATACCAGTTCACAAGATCTCTTTGCTTAAGAAATCATTCATTAACTTTTCTGAAATCGTTTTTATGACCCCACGAACTACTCAAGCCGCGGGCCCCATGACTGGGCAAGCCATGAGGTTCCATGACTAATTAAGCCATTGTTTTCAAAGCGTTTTTCTTTCACAACCAATCCCATTCTTTAAAACATTTTCAATGCCAAATCTTCTTTTAAAAATAGGCTCACAAGGAAAAGGGATAGAAATCCTACCTCGCACTACCAAACCTGGGATTAGCGTTGCCTTTTCCGGCTTTCGCTTCCTCAAGCCCCTTCAATCTGAATCATCAGCGATCACTGATGCAAGA